CCGGGACCAAAGGTCAGGCCTTTGGTCCCGGTTGGTGGCTCCAACCGGGACTAAAGGGGGGGCATTGGTACCGGTTGGTGCCACGAACCGGTACCAATGCAACCCTTTAGTTCCGGTTGGTGCCACCAACCGGGACTAAAGGCCATATGCTGCCCGCGTCGCGGCACGAAGGTTTAGTCCCACCTCGCTAGCTGAGGGAGCTCGAGAGTGGTTTATAAGCACCAGTCCCGCTGCCCTCTCGAGCTCCTCTCAAATGCAGGCTTACGGGCCTAAATGCACTATATGTGCCTGTGGGCCTATTGGGCCTATTGCGGGCCTGAATCCTGGCCCATTGTTGGGTTTCTAGTCGTATTCAGGCCGTGGTAGCCCTTTAGGTGGCACTTTTTTATTTTATTTATTTTATTTTGATTCTTCCTGCAGCTGTTTTTTTAGTCCCACCTCGCCAAGCGAGAGGCACTCGCAGCTGTTTATAAGCCCTGAGTGCAGAGACGATGACGAAGAGGCTCAATGCTCCTGCACGTTGGTTAGCTTCAAGCCTTGAGGAATACGGTAGACTACACAGAGCTATGTGCAGTGCAGTTGACACTATTCCGAAAGGCTTGAAGCAAATTAACAAGCATTGCGCCTCTTTTTTATTTTTAATGACTTATTACAACTGAGAAATAAAAAGAAAAAAATAACTGAAAAGAAAAAAAACTATATAGAAAACTACTCATAAATGAATTGAACCAAAAAATAGTTGTGATTAACTATACTAAAAAAGGAGCATAGATGCTTATTTTTAATGACTTATTACAACTCAGAAATAAAAAGAAAAAAATAAATATAGTAGAAAAGAAAAAAAAACTATATAAAAAGATACTCAGAAATGAATTGAAGCAAAAAATAGTTGTAATTAACTGTACTAAAAAAGGAGCACAGATGCTTATTTGTAATGACTTATTACAACTCAGAAATAAAAAGGAAAGAAAGTAGTTGTGATTAACTTTACTAAAATATGAGCATAGATGCTTATTTTTAGTGACTTATTACAATTCAAAATTAAATAGAAGAAAAAATAGTTAGGATTAACTTTACTAAAAAATGAGCATAGATGGTGGTCATCTCTTCAGTCAGAGGTGGTCGGCCTAAGGCTGGGTGTTCGGATCTCGGGATCCGTCATCTGGCACCAGCTGCGAGTCGGGGAGACGTAGTTGCCGGTGAAAACCAAGCTGACGGCGGGCGATGGCGGCGTTCCATGTCGTTACCATGATGAAGGCATCATCGTGTGACTACCGTTGACCCACTCGTATTGCTCCGGGGGAGCGGCTTCGTCTTAACGAGCATTGCGTCTCTTTTTTATTTTTAATGACTTATTACAACTCAGAAATAAAAAGAAAAAAATAAATATAGCAGAAAAGAAAAGAAAAATATATAAAAAACCACTCAGAAATAAATAGAAGAAAAAATAATTTTGATTAACTTTACTAAAAAATAGCATAGATGCTTATTTCTAATGACTTATTACAACTCAGAAATAAAAACAAAAGAATAAATATAACAGAAAAGAAAAAAGAAACTATATAGAAAACTACTCAGAAATGAATAGAAGCAAAAAATAGTTGTGATTAACTGTACTAAAAAAGGAGCATATATCCTTATTTTTAATGGCTTATTACAACTCAAAAATAAAAAGAAAAAAATAAATATAGCAGAAAAGAAAAAAAACTACTCAGAAATGAGCATAGATGCGCTTATAGAGGAAAATCAACTTAAATTCATAACGAATTTCAATCGAAATCCGTATGAATTTAGGCTAATTTCCCTATATAAGGGCATCTATTTTCATTTCAGAGGAGCTCAATATGGCAGAGAGGGAGGGGCTTATAAACCGGTCTGATTCCCCTTCGGTTGGCGAGGTGGGACTAAACTCTGGCCGCAACGAGGACCAACTCTTTGGTCCCGGTTCGTCCCACCAACCAGGACCAATGGTGGTGGGCCAGGAGCGGGGCGCATTGGTCCCGGTTCGTCCCATCAACCGGGACCAATAGGTCCAGCCGAACCGGGACCAGTGGCCCACGTGGCCCGGCCGGCCCCCGGGGCTCAAGAACCGGGTCCAATGCCCCCATTGGTCCCGGTTCTGGATTGAACCGGGACTAATGGGATGGACCGGCCTGGACCATTGCCCCCTTTTCTACTAGTGTATGACCGTGCCTCAAAACACGAAGTGGGGGCTGTAAAACGGTTCAGAATACTAACAAGGCCAGGACATAATGCCTCACCAAAAAAATTGCCTATGGACGTGACTTACTTTGTTTTGAGTATTTTTGCCCTTACAGCTTAAGGTTGTAATTATTAAACATAGTTGGATACAGTTATTATGTGCGGAGGACTGCTTTGGAGTATTCGGAGAAGGAACCCTCCTTGCAATGCCGAAGACAATCTGCGCGCCGGATACATCATCATTGAAGCCCGGTTTAGGTGCTACTGAGGGAGTCTTGGACTGTGGGGGTCCTCGGGGAGCCGGCCTATGTGACATGGGTCGGACTGATGGGCCATGAAGATACTAGATAGAAGGCCTTCTCCCGTGTCCGGATGGGAGTCTCCTTTGCGTGGAGGGCAAGATTGGCGTCCGAATGTATAGTTTCCTTCCTCTGTAAACCGATGTTGTACAACCCTAGCCCCCTCCGCTGCCTATATAAACCGGAGGGCGTAGTCCATAGAGATAATCACAATCATACATGCTAGACATCTAGGATTTAGCCATTACGATCTTGAGGTAGATCAACTATTGTAACCCTATACTCATCAAAGTCAATCAAGCAGGAAGTAGGGTATTACCTCCATTAAGAGGGCCCGAACCTGGGTAAACATCGTGTCCTCTGCCTCCTGTTACCTTCAATCCTTAGACGCACAGTTCGGGAACCCCTACCCGAGATCTGTCGGTTTTGACACCGACACCGTCCAGGTTTATTAGTCCTTCTTGTAGTTTGGGTCAAACTTTGATCTTTGATTTAACTTTAAAAAATAAATTATATACCCTAAAAATAGTATGATTGTAAAACTCTTTCAAATATGAAACCAACAATATAAATTTTGTGACACACAACTTATAATTTGTTAGTCAAATCTGCGATCAAAGTTGACCACAAAATATGAAGGGGACCAATAAGCCCGGATGGAGGTAGTACTCCCTATGTCCCATAATATAAGGCTTTTTTGCAAGCTATATGTTTCTTGCTTAACAACTCACGCAAACTTCTGCTGTAGCCCGTGGAAAATACCACTTTGTAATCGAACATGGATTAAACTAAGGAGCTTGTGGCCTAATTTCTTCAAATTTGGTAATATCAGTGCTATAATATCCGCGCGCAGTGAAGCGCGCGATTCCACCTAGTGGGGTGACGATCCACCAACTCCACTCGTTCTGGTAAAATTGTCAATGGTGACTTTATTGCCTCCTTTCTTTAGAACTTCATTTTACAGCCCCCGCTTTTGTATGAACTTTACATAGTGATATCTCCTGCGTTTTGCATATCCAACCTATTTGTGAGAAATGATCCCATGACATAAAACAATTACCTACCCAAGGTTTAAGAGTTTAACGATGAATTAGTGAGGAGTGTTCACTTAATAAGTGCCATAACTGGTAGTCTGTTTCTATCAAGTTGGAATTACATACATACTTGGAGCAATGAAGGAGTCGATCGGATGAAATCAACACAACGAATGAAGTGGACCTTGCAAATTATTCGTAACCAATGCGAACATTCAAATTGGAGGACAATATTAAACCACTCCCACCAAAAAGAAAAAACCATCAAATCACGATTCAGGTAGTCATGTCACTGTTGCTGTAGAGTTCGATTTTAGTGTTGCCTCTTGTTGGGAATATGCTGATGTCCAGTAGTCTGACCAAATCTATCAGCTACTGATCTCCAGATGGAAGAGAGCTACAATGCCTGCATCATGCAAGGAGGTAAGGAAATTAATTTTACATATGCTAATATTCACAAAGTACATTGTTTCATACATATATTATTTTTCCCTTTATCTCAACTTAACATCAAATGTGGTGCTTCTCGAAACTTACATCATGGAGGCTCTTCTTTTATCACGCCATTCTTGCAGAAGCATGAAGAAAAGCCATGCAAATCCAATTGCTTGAAATATCAGTGTCGTCGGACCCAAGAGGCGAAACCAACTGTTGTCGCCTGTGGCATATAAATAGATAGTGCTTCCATCTGGACATAGTAGATCATTAATGCATTGCCATTAGGAGGAAGGTGCATACCAATAATTCGAGCATATGGGGAAGAAAAAAAAGAAAAAACTTGCAATGCTATATATATATATATATATATATATATATATATATATATATATATATATATATATATATATATATATATTAATATATGGATGGCAATAATAATCATGCAATGTTATGGCATAAGATTGTAGGTCACATCGCACCATCTAGCTGTATTGAGCTTATCCGCTCCACCATCTTCACCATATGGTTGTTATTTTTTTCAACTGGCTGGTCAAGTGTGTGGGGAAAAAAAATCTAAAGAGACTTCCTGTGGAATGTCTAGGACAAGGCCCCGGATGCCAATACCTTGTCCCTTGGATTGGCGTGTGCAAGTTGAAGACCTACAAAGGGCGGGATCACCGACCTTCAATGGCAAGGTAAAGCTCTCGATATCGGTTCAATCTGACTCCCTTGGAATGATGTTTCCAAGCCCTCCCCTAAATTTCTATAACCCTCATAAGATCCTCTTTTGAAGAGTTAACCCCTTTAGACCTCATAATTTTGAGGAGAAACTCCTCAAACCATTCGAACCTGCTCAAATTCGAGTAGTCGTGGCCCGCGGGCTAGTTTCCCTAAATTCTCTCTCTCCCCCTACGCCTAGCAGCGTGCAACACCTCCCAACGACGCATCCGACCGCCTCCTCGACATCCGTGACCACGACCATGCACCCCCGTCGACCTCCCATTGACTCCCCACACTCACCAGCAAAATTTCGGCAATATTTTTCTTCGTCCTCTGGTCTTGTTCTATTGGTCTCCGTGGTGGTGGCTCCGGTGAAAACATGAGTGTCAACCGTTGTCACCGATTACGACGTATCGTTGCATCCTAGAGCATGCCATTGTGCTACTAGGAGATCAAAGAGGAGAATAGATTCAGGTGAAGTAGTGTGAAAACTGTGGCTCATGGAGGACGAATTTCACCGACTTTCTCGTCTCCTTCCTCGCACACATACTTCACGCTCGGTGAGCATCTATCAAATTATTTTTGCACATCATCTACTCTAGGCCTTAGCTAGCTCGTGGACATCATTTTATTGACCAGAAGTTGTCATTGGCTGCAAACTTGATGCGAAAAAAAAGAGGGGATTTGGGGGAAGAAGGAAGAAGAAAAGACAAGACTTCCACATGGGGTTAGCTCTATCCGGAGTTATGTTTTAGGGAAAGGGCTATGTGTGCGTAATTTTAACTCCTCAATTTTGACGAGCTAAATTTTTAGGATTCTCCGAGGAGTCATGTTTTTAAAGGGAATTGCTAGAGATGCTCTATTTTTTTAGGGGTCTTTCTAGGGATGCTCTTACAGTCTATACAGTAGACACACGTTCTCGTGTACGGCGCTTTATGGGCATACAGTTTTTGAACTTCTAATTTCTTGCATGAGTAATCACAATCGCCCAATTATCCTAAGAGGCTCTAGCTAATCCTAATAATGTTGGGCTGCCACAACCACAAGGTCAGCGTAAAAAATTGGGCCGCCACAAGATGCATGAGATTATTTAGCACATGAGACTGATGTACGCAGAAAAATAATAATCTGTGGGTCCTGTAAAGCAAAACATACCTTCTTGAGAAGAGATGCCAGAGAACCCACCCTCACCCAAGCCGAGAGATCTAGAAAAATGGCCAAGACCGAGTCGGAGAGTGCAGTTGCCGGCCAAGACGAGCACCTTCCTGCCGTACGGGCACGCGCTCTCCGCCTCCCGGAAGGCGGCGGCGACGCAGGCGGCACAGGACGAGGAGTTGACGCTAGGAGGCTCGCAGCTGGAGGAGGCTCGCACCCGGTTAGGCCAGTACCCCACGTCACCGGACGCCCGGAGGCCTTGGGAGGAGGCGGTCTCGGACGGCAGGACGGCGGCCAGGCGGCGGAGGTTGGCCCCGTAGGTGCTGTTGGTCTTGTGTACTCCACCGAAGCAGTAGATCGTTTCTGCGGCGGCGAGGAGTGGCGAGGCGGCGAGGAGGAGGAGGAGCGAGAGGAAGGGCGAGGAGTGCTGCATGGTGGCTGACTGGCTGTGGGTGAGCCGGCAAAAGGACTTGTTGTACAAAAAGTGGAGCATGTGGAGAGGATACAAGCACGTCAGCGGTGGCGGTGCGTGGACGACGACTTTGACTTCATGGAGGGTCACGTTTGGCGGCCGGAGAGGGATGAAGATTTTCTCTAGAAAAATAGAGGGGTGAGAAAGAAAGAGGAAGGTACGGAGAAAGGAGACATGTCACCAATTTGATCCAGCTGGATAGTACTAGTGGTTGTTGTTTCTAAATAAATTGCAATCATTGTTAATTTCAAGATTAATTGCCATTGGTACAATTAGTGTTATTTCCAAATTACGATTAATGCAGTTAATATTGTTTCCAGAGTGTGGGTGGTGCGATGGATACATTGTTAGGGGGTGTTTGTTTCCAGGGACTTTTTTATGTAGGGACTAAAAAAAGTCCCTCTTAGAGACTTTTTTACCAAACGGGAGGGACTTTTTAGGGACTAAACTAGGCATTTGGGACTAAATGAAGAAGACTCTCAAGGAGAGTCTTTTTTGGGACTTTTTGAGACTTTTCCAACAATGCCCCTCCATGCATCCATGGGCCCGCCACCCCATGGTGTTGTTTGACTGTTATTTATACTAGGGGCAACATGGTCATTTAATAACCTCTAGAAAGAGACTAGGGACTTTTTAGTCTCTGGGACTTTTTAGGGATTAAGGACTTTTTAGTTGGGATTAGAAAAAGTCCTAGGACTTATGAACCAAACACAGCTTTAGAATACCCCGAGACATTGAATACAGGTAGTTAAATGGTTGTGATCATTTGGATTCTTCGAACTCGTGCTTTTGCTCGACATACACCGGTAATCGTGCATGTGGAACACACGTTCAATTTGATAGTACTTTGAGGAGGTGTTTGTTTCCAGGGACTTTTTGGTGTAGGGACTAGAAAAAGTCCCTCTTAGAGACTTTTTTACCAAACGGGAGGGACTTTTAGGGACTAAACTAGGCATTTGGGACTAAAAAGAAGAAGTCCCTCTTAGAGAGTCTTTTTGAGACTTTTTCCTGCCCTGCCCCCCGCCGCGCCTCACCTTATCTTGTTATCCACACCGCTCCGGCTCCCTGCCCCGCCCCGCAAAGCAGAGTCGCCGCACCTCCAGTCGCCGCCGCTCCCCGCCCCCGCACCGCACCTCCAGTCGCGACCGCTCCCCGCCCC